CTATTCTTTCAACTTTCAATTTATTGTACAGGTCGTCTTCTTCGTCTGAGTGCTACCGTAAACTCTACTTTCTTATGTGATAGTTTTGTATTTTTCTTTTAATTATTAGTTTTCTTTCCTTCTAGTTTTTTTTTTTTCCTTGATCCATGATTGTAAATGATATTGTGTAATATGGTTTCTTTTGTTTCTATGTACTTATTGAGACTCTTAATGAGGGGTACGAGAGATAATTGTGTTTGAGAATATTAATGGATTCCTATACAAATGAGAATTTATTTATTTGTTTTTGTGGTTTATACTTTGACTATAAGGTAAGTTATTTCTATCACTTTACTGTTGGTTTTTTCTTTGTTTCTTTGTTTGATGAATGTTCAAGAGAGAAAATTGGTTTGTTTGATGAATGTTCTAGAGAATGAATTGGGTAACCTCAACCTGTTTTGCAAGCTTTTTAGATCTAGGAAAAAAATCCTTTTATACCTCAACCTATTGCACAGGCGTCTCCAATCTAGGAAATGGGTTGTCACGTATGAGGAGTGGCCTAACGAATTATACGCCTCTTATATCAATGGATCCGGGTACATAATTTCAAGTGGCATTGCAAGATTTATCGTTGCAAGATTTATCATCTCTCAACATGCTATGCAAGAGTTATCAGCTCTCAACATGCTAATCACTGTCATAGGCTAATCAATATAGAAGATGTGAGCATGGGATGTAGGTTGAAGAGTTTCACAACACTTCTCATATTCAATATTCCCATAGTTGGAAGTTTTACCTATTATCAATCATCATGACAGATGATCAATTGTTGAAGGTGTTGGATTTGATGTTATCCAAAATCCCATATTATATGAGATTGAAATATTCTCATATTATGTGGGATTGAGATTGAAATTGATATTGATAACTTTCTTAAAGGAAATAGAAATCCAATAAAATTAGGACTCTTGAATATATCTCTTAGTCTTTTGAGAGATATGTAATATCAATAAAAAGTTTATTATTTAATATGGATTTTTAATTTTATATATATGGGATAAAAGGGCAAAGAATTTGTGTGCCCTATTTTGGTCACCATATGAGAATTGTGGTTTATCTATAGAGAGATGGGGCACGACTTCCTATGCATAAGATGCAATGTTTCCTCGTAGAGATAAGAGAGTTTTCTTTGAACAAAAACATTCTGATGGTGTCGCTTTTAGACTCCTGAAGATTAAGATGCTTGTTTCTTATAGAGAAGCAGCTCCCATTGATATTTTGGGTAACTTCCATTTTAGTTAGAAAGAAAGTCAGTTTCTTGGTACTCTCATATCTCTTATCTGGTGTTGTCGACAATGGTTGCCAGAAGTAAAGAGAAGGAAGGAAATTTGGTTTAAAAGGGTTCACGGAAATTTGGTTTAAAAGGGTTCACTCGACTGTGTGTTTGTCGGGGTTTGTTCCAAAAATTTTGATGTAACTTTCATTTATATAGTGGATTTATGTTTGCCGTGCCCGTGGATGTAGCCCTTTTGGAGTGATCCACATAAATCTTTGTGTTTTTATTGTATGTATTTCATGTTTTATTTTTCATACTTTATTTGCCAAATATTAACCCATCGGGTTTAGAGCTCAACAGAATGGCCATGCACACTGCTGCAATTTCAGATAACATCTTAAAATTCTCATTCTTCCTACTTATAAAATCTCTCTCACATATATTTGTATAGCATTGTAATGGCTTTATGACAATTTTCCAATGCAATTTTTTGTCCACATAACTACTTTTCTTTTTACCCTTGTCAAGCTTTCTCGAGGTTTATTTTAACAGACTTTGTGATCGGAAGAGGAAAGAAGATATTTGATTGTTGGTGATAGTTGGAGAAATGATTTCATACTCTTTTGGGTTCGATGCACTTTTTTCAGCTTCCATCCATGAGAGATTTGCCTGGTTTGTATGTGTAAGTATTTGTGATGTAAAAAAAATGATTGTCAAAAAAAAATAGAGAATTCGGTTTTAAAACATTGATATATTCCTCTGTAGAGGAGAGAGAGAGAGAGAGAGAGCTTGGTTGCAACATTGATATATTCCTCCGTAGAGGAGAGAGAGAGAGAGAGCACCAATGTGTTCCTTTGCAGAGGAACCATATATGTAAAGCCCAAGAGAGTGTGAGAGATAGGATGGCTTGAGAGCGTTAATGTGTTCCTTTCCAGAGGAACCATAGATGTAAACCCATAGAGAGTGAGAGAGATGGGTTGTAAATATGTATGATGTAAATCCAACATAGATGGGGTTGGTTTTAGAGAGAAAAAGAGTGACACATGTAAAGTTTATAGTTGGTGTCCATGTTCATCTTAGAATCATATTTTATCTAATATTGATTTGAGTTTTGGCCGGAAGTAGATGAAATTGTTCGGCTCTCTATATCTGGATGAAATTTTTGGTTATCTTTCTAATCAGTACTCTCATGCTTAAAGTAATTCATTGTAACATGAGATTCTCTTTTTGAGTTTTCTATAGGCTTATCAATTTTAAATTTTTTAAAAGATGCAAAATTGAATTTCTACTTTGTGGTAAAGACAAAAGTTATTTTCTAACATTATAAAGCTTCTAATAATAGTAAATTTTGGTTATGATTAATTATGGATGCATATTAAGTCATAAAATTTTGAAATGATGAGATGCAAAAAAATTTAAAAAATATTTTAAATAAAAATTTATTAATTTACAATATAAAATTCTAACAAATGCATCAAACTCCTAAATAAAATTATGGATTACATGCATGAAATATAAAATACATAAAACAAACCTCTTCAAAATATAAAAGATAATATTATTTTGCTGGACAATGGTGGAGCGCACTCGGAAGCAAGGCACAACCAATTTCATGTTTCCTTTTTTGTGGCCTTCGGATAAAATTACAGGTGAACCTTGGTTGCCCAACACTGGTTAATGAATCAATCGAGGTCAACGAGAAGTAATGCATCACATGAAATTGTATGTTAGGCCTTCGTGTAGAATATGCACCTTTTACCTATGGGAAAGCTTTGTATGTGCCACTGAGTATAGAAAATTTACATATTGTCATCCCTCTCTCAGCCGTCCAATCTGAATGGACGATTGAGATAACCCTAATTACAATGTCACATTTAAAAATTATTTTATTTTAAATTTTCTTTTAGCAAAACATTGAATTTGGGGCTTTCAATCCTCTCATAGTCTCACACTTATTGAAAATGTTAAAAATTATTTTTGAGAAAATAAAACAACCAAAATACTTCTAAAGTTTTCTGGGGTAGTTTTATCATTTTACTTTTGTGAAAATATTTTTTTGAATATTTTATTTAGATGGACCCCACTGAGATGATCACACCCGCCAATTTTCATATTTGTTTGATTTGCAAAAAAAAAATTAAAAAAAAAATACTCTGAGTTGTTAGAGCTAGATCAAGGGGTCAAGGCTCACTTGTAACATTATGACTGAAGGTATTCTAGCCATTCATTCAGATCTATCCTAGCCATTCATTATGATCTGACGGTTGGAAAGAGTGGCATATATAAATTCCTTATGCCTAATGGCATATAGAAAGCTTTCCCTTTATCCACCGTTCAATATTAGGAGAATATCTTGAAACTAGTGTTTTAAAACATGGATTAGTTGGGTGAATTAGCCATCAGAAAAATGGGTATCAGTATAATACTAAAAAATTTGAGGTAATTCTGCAATAACGGTAAATAAAACAGATATATACCTTAAAATTTTATATAAGGTTGAGGCTTAAACAATTAAATTACGGCACACCTAAAAAATTCACTAGAAGAAGTTGCTTCAATGCCGAAAAACCCGCAAATCCAATCATATCGACCTTTAGATTCATGGACGTTAAAAAAAAAAAAAGATTTCATATCTTAAAAATAGTGCATCTTATAAGGCATTATTTAGACTATCAATTTTTAAGATTTCCAAGTGTTCATAGATGTGCTTGATCTATACTATTTTTTAAGCTTTAAACTATATAATTAGATATAAAAATATTTTTTAAGGCCATCATAAAGATTTTCGTTAGTGAAACGATATCCTTTGACACTATTTGATAGCGTGTCTTACTTTGATTATTTAGAGCCTCAGTCTAATACAATCCACACCCTTATTTTATTTGGACATTGGTGTGACTTTTTTTGACACGTCTTAAAAGACATGTAAAATTTACATTTTCTAACTAAAATAGATAGTGAAGAATATACCTATTTTATTTCTACAAATAAAAATGTCACCTTATATAAACCACAACCAATATCTAAGTGAGTGTCCTACTTTAAAAATCTGCATATTAAAAGCAATGGTGTCCTTTTACACCATAACTATCAATCAGACAATGACGTTTCAAGGGTAAACGAAAATTATTTCAAATACAGTTCCAATGCTAGTCAAAAAAAAGTTCTTAAAGTTTTTAATAACCATTTTACCCATATTTCAGTCTTTTCAAGAGTCTTTAAGACAATTAACATGGCAAATAATACCATTAAAGATCATATAATTCCACTCCCCAATCTGGAATTTTAAAAGCATTAATCGTTATTCTCTCAAACAAGAATCAAGCTATCCCTAGAGGACGATAGCCTTGACCTCAGAGACCAATCCATTATAATACACTTTCCTTTCCCTCAAGGAAAAAGTCTATAAAAGGTTGAGGCCCTAGACGATAAAATCAAGGCGCACAAATAAGTAGAGAAGAAGTCGTTTGGATGTTGTAAAACCCTTAAATCCAATTCTCTTGACTTTAAGACGCATGGATTTAAAAAAAATAGGACGTATGGATTTAAAAAAAATAGATTTCAAGTCTTGAAAATAATGCATCTTGTAATATATTATCTAAATTATTAATTTTTAAAATTTAAAGTGTTATAAATCTACTTAATGCACACTATTTTTTAAGCTAAAAATTTCATAATTAGAGATAAAAGTAAACTTTCAAACTATTATAAAGATCTTCAGCGTTGAGATGACATATTTCGGCACTATAGGAAGGCGCGCCTTATTTTGATTATTTAGGTTCTCAGCCTTATACAAACCACACCATTCTCTAAAGACTCAAATTACTATAAAGAAAAAAAAAATGCAAAGAGCAACAGTAAAATAAAACTTCAAAGTAAAAATTTGAAGTCAGCACAGGTGGTTTGTTGAAGCAGCAAGGAGGAGCTGAGCCCAACCCTAGATTTTTCCATGTCAAATTCTACCACATTGTCTTCCAGCTGGTGCCCTCCAATCTCAATGGAAGTCACTGGCCCAGCAGTCATTCCATCTCTATGCCCACCATCCACAAACCCTAAGCAAAGAGCACCGTTGCTCATCTCCACCATAGAGTTAGCACCATATATGGGCCAAGTAGCCTCTCCATTGCCCATAACAAGCTCAATCAAAGGCACGGACGGCCCGGTCCTCGTTCTCCCCACGCTTTTGGGTTTGTAGCATGCCCCGAAAGGCTTCACCCTCGGAACCCTTCTCATGTTCATGCGCTTCGCCTCCTTTGCGAAAGCCTCGATAACCGCTGTATAGATGGAGGTATGGAGCCTTGTGTAAGTGTCAACAGTGCTAATCTTGGTGCCACCATCACCGTGTGCAGGCTCGATCTCTAAGAGAGAAGCACTAAAGTTGACAGGCTTTCCCCCCACACGGATGGCCTTCACCCCAATGAAGTACTCATGCGACGGTGTCCCGGGCTCGGCGACCATTGCGGTGCTCACTGGGTTAGTGAGTAGTGGTGTGTATGCGAGCCCCTTCAATGAGTTGACGCCGGGCTGAAGCAGATAGGGCCCTTGGCCAAAAAAGAGCACACCCGGTGACCTGAACGAGCGAGTGAGACAGAGAGTGAACTTGGGGAGAACGCCGAATTGTTTGAATATCTGTTTTGGGAGCGAGTAATCAGAGCGGCTAAGTCCGGCCACTCCAGTGGCTGTTGCGGCGAGAGATTTTAAAAGATGGGAAGGAGCAACCGCTAATGTGAAGTCCGAGAAGGCGTTGAGATGACCGTCACTCGATTTGATGGCCACACGATCTTGGATGAGGGGGGCATTGTCGGCGGTGTGTATGCTTTGGGGAAACACACCACAGGTGCCATTGTCCGAGCACCGAGTGAAGTCGGCTTTGGTGCAGAGCAGGGAGGAGCACGGGACAGGGCGGGAGGTGGAGGAGGTGTAGTTGGTGGATGAGAGCCACGTATAGGAGCTGCCGAGATGGACGACGGCGGTTTCAGGGCGGAGAGGGGTTCCGAGGAGGAGTGTGGTGAGGTATTGGAGGGTGGATGGGTCTTTAAGAATGGGGGCTACAAGGGTTTTGGGTACGACAGTTTGGGCGCAACAGTAGCTTAAGAAGAGGAAGGCGAAGAGTGGCACCGGTGCTCTTTTTCGAGTATACATTTCTTGGATGTGAGTTGAGTAATGAAAATAATTGTGGAAGAGGGTCTACATCTACTCCATGGCACGCGTTATGGCTCCATTTGTCAGAATTCAGCATAACATATTTGACTCTGTAAGAAACAGATACCGGAATGGCTAAGATTTGGGGATAAGATCAAGAAGGTGTCATGCACGACTGCAGGTTTGAATTTCAAACCAGTTCTCCGTCAAATTGATCATCTCGATCTTTGTGTATCACGACACTTGTCACTTGAAGCGTTTATTTCAAATTTTTATTATTTTTAAAGCTTTAAATTTTATATTTATATGTAAAAAAGTAAACCTGCAAGTGGTGTCCGAGCTAAAAGTGAAGTTTCTGACAAAGTAATAAAACCCGGCTTTACGATACCGGATATCGTATAGCCACGTCCCCATAAATACCAAGTCCATAAAAACCATACGATGAGTTAGGTAATATCATATGAGTAAGGTATGGATCGATTTAAAATTTAGTTTATGACAAAGTAATAAAGCCCGGCTTTACCGGATATCGTAAAGCCATGTCCCCATAAATACCAAGTCCATAAAAACCATACAATGAGTAAGGTAATATGATATGAATAAGGTACGGATCGATTTAAAATTTATTGATTTATATCAAGAATTATGGATTTGGATCGAGAATCATTACGTACCTGTTTTCTAGTTAGAATTGAAGATTAGTATTACGATTCGGGCCATCGAATATTTCAAGATGAGCATCAAGAATCGGGCCATCGAGAAGGGCAAATTGCCCGATTCCCACAATTATAAGTTTGTATTGCTAATTAATGAATTTATTTATTTTTATACATTATTCTAATCGTATATGATTCCCTCGAAGACAAGTTCACGTGTCGGTCCCGTGGTTTTGAAAAACGGGTATTAGTGTAATACTATTAAGGGCTATGCATAAAGGAGGCCACATGGTCACAAACCTTTTGCGACCTTTTGAGAGATGGGCAATACCACTTACTTTGATATTTTTGTGAATGGCGACTCAACCCCCAAGCATAGGAAATTTGACCAACCTCATCTGCTGCATTGGATGGTCTACATTGATACCGCTTGCTTTTGCTCTTTCCAAGAGCCAACTACGTACGGATCGTTTGGTCATGTATCTAGTTACCACTCATTGGCACCTTATTTAAAAAAAAAAAAAACAACAAAGCTAAATCCCTAATTTATTTGAAAAAGACGTTAGAGCTTGTCTTCCCTATTTAATTACAAAAAATAATAATTTATGTACGGATGTCAAATAAAAAGGTCAAATATAAATAGCCAATTTTACTTAAAAATTATAAGGCCATTTACTATAGCATTTTTTATTTTTTCCACAATGTCCCTCGATCCAAAGATACTGCTTAAGGACTGGTTTTAATTTTTTATTTTTAGTTTTTTTTTCGATTATATGGGTTGTGTCCTTTGTTTTAAGGAGGTTGGCGATCGATTCGAGATGCCTATCATTGAACCACCCAGATTATAGTGTTACACCACATTATAGGTGGCCTGAGGTTGCCACCTTCTGACTACCCAAATTGTCATGTTATACCTCAATATAGGCGGTCCAAACCATAATATGGTCAAACACTACTGTAGGGGCCGTGTGAGGATGGGGACCTTAAACCACTAACTGGATTGAGCTTAAACGAGCTGTCTGAGATCTTCATCCTTGAACTGCCTATAATGTGGTGTAATATCACAATTTGGGCAGTCCAAGGATGGGGACTTCAGACCGGTCACCAGCTGTCCTAAGACATATAATACAGGCCAGACAATGGAAGAAATCTAAAACAAATTAAAACCAATCCGGAGATGGTATCCTCGAACCAAGGGGCCTTATGGGGGAAAAATAATAAAATGCTACAGTACATGACCTTCCTTATAATTTTAAGTAAAATTGATTCTTTTTGTAATTTTCCTACTTTTTGTGTTTGTACGTAATTCGCAATTTTTCTAAAAACTCTTGGCCATGCTACTAATGCATTTCGGTACCGTGTTTGGTCTGCTGCCCTGTTTTTTTAAAAAGGAAAATGGATTGATAGGGCTGCAGCCCTATCAAAATCAGTAAAGCCTCACATCATAACTCATCGAAAATTGCAATTCAGGCATTATAAACCTTTACATCGATCATTTCGGCTTCAACATTATGGTTGTGAAAAAAATTTAGGATTTCAAGATCTAAAAATAGTGTATATTTTAACAAAGAAAATTTGTTTCATGCAACGGGAACTATATTTCTACATTTGCGGTCCCCAAGGTATAAAACATCCATCTTAAAGATAGATACAAATAGGTGATCCATCTTAAAACAATTGAAACTAATCGGTCAAAATGTTTTCTTAGTAGAATTATTATTTTTAATTTTCAAAATTTATTAAGTTTTACATATTCATGATCTCCATGTTAGAGATTACATGTCCTTGAAAATTAAGTCTAAAAGTCCATCTCAAAAATAGATTTTTAATAGGTGACTCATTCTACATAGACTCACAGGAACCGTGTCCTTTAACAAAAATATCTAAACCGTCTTTTTCACTCTAAAAGTAAGAGTTCAAAGATCTTCCAAGGTTTGTACATTTTTTGAGTTTTAATTTTTGTTATCGGCGTTAAAAATTGGTTTTAGATGGTGAGGCTTTATTTGGTTTTCATTTATAATATAGGGAAAATATCTTTATAGATCACATTTTCAATTTTCATTTCTCCTATTGATTTAAGGAGGCAAAACCTATCTTACTACATAGAAATTCACACTATTATATCTCTTAAGCCCTTAAACATATTTTATTATTTTTTTTATTATTTTTTTTTACTCAAACAAATTTAAAAAAGACATTGTTTCTGAACCTGAGATGATTCCCTTTCTCTTTCCCCGATCAACCTCCCAAACCCCTCTCTCTCTATCTCCCCCAACTCTTTAGAGTCAGGGAAGCCATAGCAAAGCTTGGACTTTGAGGTTTCAAAGGTAGCCGTAGCTCGATGGACACAGTCGTCGGAACCATGTCAGGGGATCCATTTTCACGGCCACCATTTTGGCCGGAATCTTGATCGGAATGTGCATGGAATCGGAGTAGCAAATGAATTAGGGTTTGATGACAATAACTTTGGCACAATTTTAAAGATAGATTGGACAAAACTACGAGTTGGTGCTTGATGGCAAGAAGTGGCCAGAGATTGCAGGAAGAAAGAGAAAACACAGATAATGTTGATTGTGGTTTTATTGCTTGAACTTTAGGGTTTCACAGATTGAATTCAGCCCCAATTTACAGGAATAACAGAGAAAGTGAGTGTAATGGCCACAATTACCCCTCTCATACCCTGCTGTTTTCCAGGCTTATGGGGGAATTAGAAATTCTGCTATTCTAAAAGTCAGTTAGATCTTATTTTTGAATGTTCCGGTACACCGACAGATATTCTTCGGCAACTTCACTGCTCGATGGGAAACATCACCGAACCCTGGAAATACCTCGGTGTCCCTATCGATCTTTCGGAAAGCTTTCCGCAAAAGAGAATGGTTGATCCTACTGAAGACCAGACCAAGAAAAATCGCCAATTGGGGCAACTCATGGTTGAGCTTTACTGGTCGTCTAGTCCTCATAAAACATGTCAAGCAGGCATATGCCTGTCACATGGCGACCATTCTCAAAGTCCTTGTGGGTACTGAGAAATTGGAGTCTTTCGCCGGAATTTGATCATCTTTTTGGGCTCGAAGTTAGTTTGCTCTGCTTGTTTTGCCGTGAAAACGCCATTGACACCGGAAAAGAAACCCCATCTCTTTTCCCAAACACTTTTCCGGTGATCTCGATGCATTCATCTCTGGGATAGGAGATTGCCGGGAAAGGTGCCCCGTTTTCTCTACAATCTCCCGGCTTCCACCGTTGTTGAACTAGAAAGAAGTGGGTTGTAGAAAGAGAGAGGAAGAAAGTCTAGAGAGAGAAATGTGAAGAGAGATTGAAACTCGTGAGGAGAGAGAGTTAGAATAAATAGGTTTTTTTTAAATTATTTGGGTTAAAAGTTGGGTTGCATAAAGAGAGAGGAAGTCTAGAGAGAGAAACGTTAGCACAGATTGAAAGTAGTAACGAGTTGGAATAAAAATAGTTAGAATATCGGTTTTGAAATTTTGGGTTTAAAAAGTAGTAAGGAGTTGGAATAAAAATAATTAGAAGATAGGTTTTGAAATTTGGGATTTAAAAAGAAATAAAAATTAAAAATGGATTTATAGGCATGTTTGCGTGAGCAGAGGTTGAAAGTAGTATGGAGTTGGAATAAAAAAAGTTAAAAGATAAGTTTTGAAATTTTGAATTTAAAAAGAAATGAAAATTAAAAATAAATTTATAGGCATGTTTTTTCAAATATATAACAGTTGAATAGTACTCGTTTGTCGTGTTCCTTAAGTAAAAATTGCTGTTAGTCTGGTTCACAGATCCATATAACTGCTGCTTATGAAGTAAAGGTCCTGGATTTTATATATCCGGGCGTTCCTCTATTATTAGACGTGGGACAACAACCGTGTTTACTGTAGCCGTTGCGGAATTTTGCTGCAGCGGACGTAAGATGCTTTCTCAAAACTCTTCAAGAATTTCCCCCCCACCTTGCTCTCACTTATCGCCACTCATTTGCAATAACATTTGGTAAATTTCTTTATCAATAGTGAAAAGATAAAATACCAACGGTACCATCAGACATGCTCCTACTAGGGCTGACGTGGTGTGGGGTTAGAGAGAGGAGAGAGAATGAGGTGGCTGAAGGCTAGAGATACATTGGGTCTTTTAATAGGGCTCATTTTGATGACGCATAACCACATAATATGCTATAAAATAGTTTTTTTTCTCTACCTTGTTTTTCTACTTCATGCCATTTTTTCACTTATTATTTTTTAAACAACAATAAATGGTAGTGGGGCAACTTAGGAGAATGAACATGCTTTTTTTAATTTTGAATTTTAATATCTTTATTTTCCAATTTTTAGGGTAATTTTTAATTTATTGTTTTTAGTCTCATAATATTAAAATTTATAAGGGGTTTTATTTTTTAATTATATTATAAAACATGAATTAATGAGTATGTCAATTAATTTAACAATATTATTGAGCACGCCAATTTATTTATAAATCTTAGCATATCATGTTTCCAAATTAACGTGTCGTATTCAATGAGCCTCATCAACATATTTTTTTTAATTAAATGAATTAATTAGAGTGTCAAATTAAAAAATTTACATATAAAATTTTTTCCTATTTATTAGTACAATGTTTTTTTTGGTAGAATTTATTTCTATGTGTATTTTTATTTTTATTTTTATTTTGCAACTACTGTGCATGTTGTCGATAGGCATTTTTTTTATTTTTTGAATTTTGATATCTTCATTTTCATTTTTTTGGCTAAAGTTTTTTTGCATTTTTTAATATCATAACATTAGAATTTATTGGGGGGTTTTATTTTTATTTTTAATCATATGATATGGAAGTATTTTCTAATAATTTTTTAATCATGTTTACTATAATATTATAATTAATAATTATATATTGATAACCCAATCTTGTATTTTATTTATTATTTTATTTACATTATAAATTATATAATGTATTATTTTTCTTATTGTTGTAAATAATTTTTTTAAATTTAATGATATTATAAGACATTTTAGATTT